TGTTAAATTGTAATCACGCTACGGGTCGCAATTGTGGCTTAATCCCCATGAAAATGAATATGGAGGTTAGGGTCAGAATAGAAACCTATTGTTTTTGGAGATGATCGCGGAAATGGGTTGAAATGGACCAAAAACAGAAAAAATTTCTGATTTTGCAGTTGTTCTTTGGGCCACAATTATGAATCAATCGAAGCGGAAATTTGCATGGCGTTAGAGTTCAGGGCTGGGCAGAAGCTAATCAATTTGGATGGCATTCGAACAATATTTAGCGGATAAAATAAACCATAACTTTTATGTCAAAAAATATGGAAATTTTCACTAAATCGCGAATGTATTTAATCTCAGTGATGCTGATAGCCAAGATATCGCATATAAAGCAAAATAGGTACAATATATGTGTAAAAAATAGATCTTAGTTATTCTCTTTATAAGTCAAGAACCGCTGTATAGATTTTCACAATTCTCATCAATTCGGAATGGTCTCCTGACAGAAAAGGATAATTTCTAAGAAAATCGCGTAAAAATATGATAATAAAAAAGTGAAGAAATTTTGTTAAGTTTGTAAAAGTTTGTAAAAAAATACCGAATATTGGAAGGATGGGGTTATAGAAATTGTGCAGATCTCTTTTCGAAATCCAAATATCGAATTTTAGGTGATTTCGTTAGAAGATGAGAGAATATCAGAATATCGGAAAGTACCGTTATATGGTGGTTCTGGTCAATGGTTCTGGTCCATGTATGCTACAGTGGCAGGTATGCTTTGCGAATAATAAACACTAAAGGTGAAACAGTTCCATTTGAAAATAGTCTTAAATCAAAAGAACATTGTATATCTGTTGGTACCGTTTAATGGTGGCTATAAAAAAGGCAATGTTCTGCCATCGTTGGTAGAATTCATATACATACATACAATACATACAAAATAAATGTACATTGTTGGGCATAAAATGATTACTTCTAAGGTGGAGGGTGCAAAAACAAAAACAAAGAAAAAACGAGTAAAAAAAAACATTAAGTTCGGCCGGGCCAAACTTTTAATACCCTCCACCTTAGGGTAAAGGAAACATTGTGGCAAAAACCATTAAAATGCCGAATATCGGGAGGTACCGTTATATGGGGGCCATACCAAAACGTGGACCTATAATTACAATGACTCGCCACACGAACTGGGACCCATTATGATCTGCAACTTCCAATTTTTAGACAAATCCGTGAAAAAATGCCTGTTGTAATCACTCTATCTTTCGAACGAATTGAGATAGAAGTCTAAAATTTTGCATACATACAAAGTTTACCAGTAGGCCGGTTAAGTTCTTAATTGGGCCATGTCGGTCCACGTCTTCGTATAGCCCCTATATAACGGTACTTCCCGATATTCGGTATTTTCATAAGTTTGGCGACATTAATTACCGGAAATATTTCAAATTTCGTATTTGAAGATCGTAATGGGTATTTGAAGATCCAAATGGGTGTCTATGACGAACTTTTTGTATGGTCTGTAGAACAACTGCAAATTCTGGAAATGTTTTAGGTTTTTGTACATTTCAATTATTTTGAAATATTTTGCGATCATATCCAAAAACAATAGGCATTCATTCTGTCCTTAACTCCACCTCCATCCTAAATTTCGCGAGGATCAAACTGTAGCGTGATTACAAATTAACATGGACAGACGGACAAATACGCATCGAGTCTGATGTGTAAGATAGGTGAATCTATATGTAATTTCCTATGTCTTAGACTAATATTTCGAGGTGTTACATAATTTATGGCCAAATCACACTTATAATGTCTCCAACACATTGTATTGTAAAATTAATGTAAACTTTATTTCACTTCACCTTTATAATTTCTTAAAATGATCCATGTTGTTAAACAAGAGAGGCTCATTGATTCATGGGTAACTACAGATGTCAGGCATTTAAGCAAAACACAAAATATACAGGATGAGGTAAAAAACTGCTATAAAGTCAAACGACATAATTTTTACATTTAGCACGAATTATGGCCTTCACACGGCCAATGAAACCGTTATACGCTACCCGAATGTTGCTCTGCGGTACTTTGGCTCATTCCCGGCGAAGCGCTTGCTTGAGTGTCGATCGCTTTGGCAATAAAAATAGCCAATCTTTCTTTCCAAAATACTCCAGACACAAAAGTCTAACGGATTGGTATCCAGACATTTTGGTGGCCATTGTGCGCTGGAAATGAAGCGAGGAACCTCATTTTGTAACCATTCTTGGGTGGCGCGTGCTGAGTGCGATGGTGCTGAGTCCTGTTAGAATATCCAAGGTCTGCGGCCAATATGTTTGCTTGCCCAAGGCTTTGATACACTTTCCAGAATATTTTCGCGATAATATTCGGCATTTATTTTGATGCGATTAATACGAGCGGATAGCGACCATCGATTGTTTTGGCGGCCCACACCATCACCTTGGCCGACGCTGACCTCTTTGGCAAGTAAACACGATCATTTTGTTTCTTTACAAACTGCTGGACAGCGAATGTTTTCTCATCGGAAAAAACCAAATTCAGCAGTTCACCACTTTCGTCCAAGCGAAGCAACTCTTTGGTTCTTTTAGTCTATTTTCTTTCTGTTGCGGTGTAAGTTTTTGCACTTTTTATACCCTCCACCATACTATGGAGGGTATATTAATTTTGTCATTCCGTTTTTAACTCCTCGAAATATTCATGTCAGACCCAACAAAGTATATATATTCTTGATCAGCGTAAAATTCTAAGACGATTTAGCCATGTCCGTCTGTCTGTCTGTGTGTGTGTCTGTCTGTCCGTCTGTCTGTCTGTCTGTCTGTCTGTTGTAATCACGCTATCTTTCGAACAAATTGAGATAGAAGGCTAAAATTTTGCACACATGTATATTTTCCCAGTAGGCAGGTTAAGTTCGTAAATGGGCCATGTAGGTCCAAGTTATCATATAGCCCCCATATAACGGTACCCCCCGATATTCGGTATTTTAATGATTTTAGCGACATTATTTACAGGGATTGTTTCAAATTTCGCATGTGAAGTTCGTAATGGATACTTCAGCCCATGCCTGAAAATTGTCTGTGCAGTTCCACGTATTCGTATAGCCCCCATATAACGGTACCCCACATATTCGGTATTTTGACGATTTTAGCTACATTATAAACAGATTTTTCTTCAAGTTTCGCATTTAAATATTGTAATAATTTATGACAAAAGTTGCCTATGCAGGCCCGTATAAGCGTTGTATAAGCATTCGGTATTTTTAAGATTTTAACAGAATTTTTAACGGGTTTTTTTTTTTGGAAATTGCCAAATTTGTACCAAATGGTGGAGGGTATTAAAAGTTCGGCCCGGCCGAACTTACAGCTTTTTTACTTGTTGAAATTTCAATGGCCTTACCCCGACCTCATTTTTCAATATTTGCCGAATTGAATATTGCGATATGTTCAGCTCACGACCCATTTTTCGGCCACCGCGACGTGGGTTTCGATCAAGACGCTTCTTTATTTTCGAACCATTTCTGCTGATGTTGCTGTTTCCTTCCGTTCACTTCCTTGACGTCGGGCTACGCTACCAGTATCACGGTAACGAGCGATGGTACGAGACGCAAAAGATTTATTCACATTTAAATGCTGGCGTACTCTAACGATAGCCACTTGTGCTTTTCCAGCCAAATATAAAGAAATCACACTGTCATGCTGGAATTCCATCACGAAAAACTTTTTTTCTGGAAAATTTTCACCAAAACGCTTTTGTACGCTTGTAAAGAATATAATGAGCTATCACTGGAATAATTTTTCCAACTGTCGGACGAGTGGCTTAGGAATGACAGCAGTCTCACGTTGGTTGCAGGTTTTTCATCTCACCCTGTACATAACCAATGTTGTCAAAATGATAATTGGTAACAAACCCCCTTAGGATATAAACAGCATTTATCGCTGATAAATCTTTGCAACCACTCAATACCAATGTTAAAACAAGGCTGCAGACCTTGGACATTCCAACAGGACTCAGAACCATCGCACTGAGCACGCGCCACCCAAGAATAGTTACAAAATGAGGTTCCTCGCTTCATTTCCAGCGCATAATGGCTCCCAAAATCTCCGGGTACCAATCCGTTGGACTATGGTGTCTGGAGTATTTTGGAAAGCAAGGTAGGCACTAAAAAATACCAAAGTGCCGATCACAGCAAGCAAGCGCTTTGCCGGGAATATGTCAAAATACCGCAGAGCAACATTCGGGCATCGTGCGATGGTTTCATTGGCCGTTTGAAGGCCATAATTTGTGCCAAGGGTGACCAATTCGAACTTATCCTAAAATTTGAAGCTTTTCCGACATTTTTTACTTCCATTCAATAAAATTAAAAAAATGTAAAAATTATGGCGTTTGATTTTGTTGCAGTTTTTTTATCTCACCCGGTATGCCCTATTGGATTTCAAATTTAAGTATGATTTTTTCTATACATATCTCCAATATAAACTTAAATTTGTTATGAGTAGTGTAGAGTATTATATAGACGGCTCCGCCCTTATACTCCGAAAGATGGCTATTTATATGACAACATCTTCCCCTCACTTTTATGACAGAGAAACTTCGATTTTAATGAGAATCCAAAAACTGTGTTAACATCTTTTCATCATTGTCTTTGCATTTGAAATGCTTTTGAGCCAAAACGTTCTAATCTCAATGGCAATAAAATTCTGCCGCCACACAATAAGAACAGGAACACATAAAGAGTGTTTGTCAGCCGCATCGATTAAAATTCATAGAAATATGGAACGGAAATTAGATTTGCCAAAAAATGAATGGATGAATTCGAAATATTCATTAATACAAAAATAATAATAAGAATTTCAAAAGCAACATTTTCTGAGCCATTTTTTGGATACAAAATTTTTTATAGTTTAATTATACGAGGTATTTTGTCGGATTATTTTCGGGATGGCATTTTTTTGAGAGATTGACTATAAATTGTTAAGTGGCTTTGAAAAGTGTTACAGTTTTCAGAGAACACTCATCCCGACAGATACAAAGGAAGGTTATCACCAAAATCGATAATGGTATTTTGCCACCAATAACAAATAAAGAAAACAAAATTCTTTAAATGGATTGTATTTTCAGAAATACTTTTTCGCGTTTTTGGCTTTTGCTGCTGTGTGTATTATAGCCTCAGCTAGTCCCGTTGATAACAGCGGTCGGTATTATCATGGCCAGTACTATGATGGTCGATATTATAAAAACCGTGATTTTTACAATCAACGCCGTTATTATGACAATTTGTTGAAACCCTACCGGGCCGATGTGGTTGCCAAGGAGTCACGCATTGTTGAACAGAAAGTGGAACCCGCCGTTGATGGCAACTTTGCCTATCAATTCGACACCGAAAATGGAATTCATGCTGAGGCTCGCGGTACCAGTGTAAATATTGGCGCAGACGAACCTGCCCAGAAAATTGAAGGTTCATTTGCCTACATTACTCCAGAAGGTCTTCGGGTGGGAGTTCGTTATGTTGCCGATGAAGCTGGTTATCGTCCAGTCTATACTTGTAAGTAAAAAATACTTGTTTTTTAATTTAATAACTTAAAAATATAAATATTAATTTTTATTTTACTTTCAGTTGATGGATTTGAAGCTGTTCAACATGCCAATTCCCAACCAGCTGCCAATGTTGAAATTACCAAAATCCATTAAAAAAATATTTTCCAAAAACTCTTGACAATTTTTAAAGTTATTTCTCATAATTAAGACACATGGGCAAACAAATAATAAACAATATTATCCTAATACAAAAATTGTTTATATACTACGTTCTTTTCATTGTGATTAGCCCAAAAAATATGTACCACATAGAAATTTTGGTCACAGGTATAAAAAACTACGGGTGAGATAAAAAAAACTACAACAAGTAAAACGCCATAATTTTTACATTTTTTTTAATTTTATTGAATGAAAGCAAAAAATGTCGGAAATAGCATCAAATTTTAGAATAAGTTTAGATTTGTTGGAATTGGTCACCTTTGCACGAATTATGTGCTTCAAACAGCCAATGAAACCGTCACACGATGCCCTAATGTTACTCTGCGGTATTTTGGCCCATTCCCGGCAAAGCGCTTGCTTGAGGTGATCGACACTTTGGTATTTTTTAGTGCCAACCTTGCTTTCCAAAATACTCCAGACACCATAGTCCAACGGATTGGTTGGCGCGTTCTGAGTGCGATGGTCCTGAGTCCTATTGGAATGTCCAAGGTTTGCGGCCAAAATGTTTGCGTGCCCAAGGCTTTAATACAGCCTCCAGAATATTTTCGCGATAATATTCGGCATTTATTCTGATGCCACGGTCGATTAATATGAGCGTAGAGCGACCATCGGCTGTTATGGCGGCCCACACCATCACCATGGCCGGCGCTTGAGTTCTGGTGGTCAACCGAAGGTGCAAATTTTCAGCTGACCTCTTTGGCAAGTAAACACGACTATTTTGTTTGTTTACAAACTGCTGGGCAACGAATGTTTTCTCGAATGCGAATCAACTCTTTTGAGTCTATTTTCTTTCAGTTGAGGAGAATGTTCTTGCACTTTTTAGAATTTCAATGGCTTTACCCCAACCTCATTTTTCAATATTTGCCGAATGGAATATTGCGATATGTTCAGCTCACGAGCCATTTTTTCGGCCACTGCTACGCGGGTTTGGATCAAGTCGCTTCTTTACTTTTCAAACCATTTCTACTGATGTTGCTGTTTTCTTCCGACCACTTCCTTGACGTCGGGCTACGCTACCAGTATCACTGTAACGAGCAATGGTACGAGACACAAAAGATTTATTCATATTTAAATGCTGGAGTGCTCTAACGATAGCTACTTGTGGTTTTCCAGCTAAGAATAATGAAATCACGCTTGAATTCCATCACGAAAAACTTTTTTTCTGGAAAATTCTGAACAAAATACTTTTGTTCTCTTATACACAATATAATGAGCTGTCACTGGAATAATTTTAACAGCTGTCGGACGAGTGACTTAGAAATGACAGCAATCTGAAGTTTGTTGCAATTTCTCCATCTCACTCTGTATATATTGATCTTTCTCTTTGAGCTGAGTCGATAAAGCTGTGTATGTCCGTCCGTCTGGCTGTCCAAATTTTAATCACGCTACAAGTTGCTATTATGGCCCGATACTCACGAAATGGTGGTGGGGTTTGGGTCAGAATAGTTTTTAGGAGATGATCGCAAAATATATAGGGGTGCTTTAGGGGCCACAATTCTAGACCAATTGATTTGGAATTTGCACTGAGTTAGAGTTTAAGGCGGGTTGAAACCTATAAATTTGGATAGTCATTGAATAATATTTACCGTGTGAAATATTACTTAACTTTTAACATTAAACCGTGAATATTTTCAATTCCAGCAAAATGACAATCACACGAAAAGGTCAGTTCTGACCGTTATAATAATCTTGATATCAAAAATATCGCAAACATAGTAAAATATCTCATATATCAAAGATGGGGATGTTAGTTAGGCCGCTTATAACTTAATAACGGCTGGACGGATTGACAAAAATAGGCAAATATCAGAGGTAAGGGAAATCATATAGAGAGTCTAAATTTTTAAACATTTTTGTGAATACCCATTAACACGACATAGCGCAAATGCTATGCAAATGATGTTCTTTAGGTATTTGATGTGGTAGGAACATCTGCTTCGTAAAATACTGATGGTTTTTAGAGATCGCATGTTTTTGAAAAATATTGGTTCCAGATCTAGGAGGATTATACGAAAAGAGGAGCTATTAGTTTCAACGTTTGCTTTTGCCATATAATAGACATGGGCGTGTTTCATAGGAGAATCTTCATTCTAATCTAAATGGGTTCAGATCTGCAGAAACTTTATTGAACTAATTTATATATTACTAAATATAATTATCAGGGATTCCTGGATGTTTGTAATAATTTTTAGTGGGTAAATCGTATTTTTTCACTATTTTCATATCGGTTTAGGTTACAAAAACCATGGATACAACATGGCACTGTTTTTTTTATCACAATTTAAAAAAAAAATGAATATCTCTGTTTTTATTTATTAAATTTTTTTAACTTTCCTCTTTAAAGTACAGTTCTACATTGAGTTGTATGACAATATTATTTGTAAATTTATTTAATTTTTTCACCACGATAAAATACATGAATCTCCTGAAAGTATGTTGTAAATTTAGGTGTTAGCAGAACTCACCATAATATGACAAGATGTTTGGGTTTACTCGATGGTCAGACGTTAAAAGTTTCATTTGAATGTATTATAAGAAATTACTATGAAATTAAAATAGAGACCGTTTCTGTTTGCCCAAAAACTAGAATACTTAAGTAAAAACCAATTATATTTGTTTTTTTATACCCTACAACACTATGTGTTGGGGGCATTATAAGTTTGATTGGGCCAAAAATTATGTAACACCTCGAAATATTGGTCAAAGACCTAAAATGGTAAAGACTAGACAAAATGCATTTTGAGCAAATGGTTTGTGTCTACAATACATAGAGTAACAGCTCATGTCAGAGACATATTTATATAAAATCCGCAATTACAGAAACGAATAATAAATAAAAATTTCAAAAATCCAAAATTTTAGATCTAAAATTGTATTCCATACACCTTTTCAAAAATTTACATATTGTCTTAGCGGTTTAAATCAGTTAACATTGGTAGCTATGTTGTTATGATATCATAACAATAGAGGTATTTTCATAGGGTTGCCATATTTTTACTCTGTCTTGTCCTATCTTTATACTTATACTAGCTGGCCCGGTCCGCGTTGCCGGCCCGTACTTTTAATCTTTAACGCATAATAAATCACAGATCTGACTTATGTAGGCGGCACAATTTTGATTAAAAGTAATGACGCCATTATAATTACTCCAATTTTGATTATAAGTAGTGATTTGATTATGAGTAATGACTCCATGACTAAATATAAATTAATATTCATGGCAAAAATAATAATTACCGTCGGTTTTAGATATTTTGAATAGCCTGATCTTATTTTTCAGCTATAGGCTTTAATTTGAGTGTTAAATACCTATATGATAAAGAGCATTTATAATAGCCCCATGTGAAAATTCAGCTCAATTTTTGATATTGTAAAAAGCATTCAAATGAGCTATAATTTGAAATTTGTATTTTCAACGTTTAAAATCCCGTACTGCGTGGTATTCAGTTTTGTCCACCTCATACTTGAAGGCAGAATGTTGTCAGAATAGCCAAAAAAATTACTCTTTTGCTCCGATTACCGTAAGATGGGCATTAATTGTTTGTCATTTAAATTGTGCGGTGAAGATCCAATAAAGTTACTTCATAATTTCTTATTTTTTTTTTCATGTTTCTGCCACAATTTCCGACTGAATGAGTCCCAGATTGACATTTCAGAGTTTATTTCATATAGACGTACATCCCAAATCTACGTTCCCAACCAATATTCTCTTGGGGGTTACAAATTCAATAGAATACCAAATTTTCGTTTCTGACCATGCATTGGTAGGGAAAGTGGACTTGGGGGTATTCTAATGTGGGGACTATACTTAAATAAATTCCTATGAGGGTAATTATCTGTAAGATGATTTTCTACCCCAGGGTTTTTTACCCCAGGTAGCCTCAAGACTAAGATGCGCACTTTTACGAAAAATAAACATTTATAAGAAGAGGTTTTCTTCCCCCTTAGAAACAAAGTTGTCAAATAAGGGCCAAAAAATGAAAAAAGTGGCCAAGACCCCGAAAATACATTAAATCATGATCACGTGATCATTTTTTGCAAAGATGATTTCTTCTTAAATTATCAACATAAGCTAAAATTAGTACGAAAAATATGGTTAAAATGTAGAATATACTTAAGATCGGGTTGTTCCGTTATCAGGGGTTATGATCCATATCATGACCTGCCAAAGCGATTAAAGGTATCTTGAATGTTTAGGTAGAATTTCTATTTCGCGTTCTTTATAGTCGGTATTTGACTGATTACAGTCCCAATGTATTTTGCATTTTGTGTTCTCATTTGACAATTTATTGTCATATGAAAGAAGAAGGTTCACTTTTGAAATTAACCCCATAACGCTTCTTTGGTCATTTTTGTTTGTTTAAATGTGTTCGCATCTTCCAGCTGAAGCACGATGTAGGTCCTGGAGTAGAAAGCATTTAACATCGTACTGCACCCTCATTTCATTTTTAATATTATTCAATCAGAATTCAAACCAAAAAAAAAATGTACACTTCAATATAGAAAAAAGAAAAATAATTTCAATTGGTTCGCTGAATTTTTTTGCGGCAAATTTTTAAAGGTCTTTACGAAGTTTGTCAGTAGAATGTACTATTATTTTGAAATTCGATTCCATTGAAAAATTGTCGAATTTCCCCGATTTTAGAATTTTCATATAAAGCGACAACGGATAAAATTGTTATTTATAGATTTTATGTATTTATTGGGTATTACGAATAAATACATAAAGTCTATAAATAACAGTTTTATCCGTTGTGGCTTTATACTACCCAAAAAACCTACACATCATATTAGAATTCAAAAAAAAAAAAAAAAAACACTACAAATGTACATTCGAAAATAGTAAGTCAAAATGGAAAAAATATACAATATAAAACATTACTATTGTACATTTTAAAAGTCAAAATTAAAATGTTCAAATTTCACATTTTTACGCGATTTTTTTGGATTTTATTCCTTTCTGCCAAGAGGCAATTCCGAATTTGTCTAAATCGTTAAAATCAGACCGGCGGTCTTTATGTTATAAGAGTAGTAA